ACCCATGAATGGAATGAAGTTACGATACTTTTGCACTGGATGAATAAACATGGCAGAAAAGCTGTCATTTAAAGCTATGATAAGTATTAACTTACTGTCAAGAAACCAGCTAGTACTAAAACATTTACAAGTTTGGAGCCTCACTTCTTGTGGTTTTAATTATTGAAGATTTTTGGAAAAGTAAATAGCAATTTTTTTAAACATTCTGACCCTTTTAATCTCTGCTCATCTCATCTTTATTTTCCTTCTTATTTTGTCCCATAGAATTAAACATACTTATTTACTCTGTTTACTTCAGTAAAGTTTCTTAAATATAGTCGGTTAAAGAGGTATGTTGTTGCATCTCCTATGAAGGATGTCAAACGATACACTGATTCCCAAAGTGCTTTTGAACAATTTTCATATTAGGAACTTCAAGTGAAGGTGACAGTCTTGACCCCCTGTTTTCGGTCCACCCTGGCCGAGAGCCTGAACAGATGCTCCTGTTGTTATATTTCCCTGTTTTGTTCCATCTTGGTGGGACAATGAAAATTCCCACTTGTCCTAGCGAGAGGCGACTCTGACTTAACCTCACTTGCTGGTTCCCGTTTTAATCCTGCTGGGATGGGTACTCCCTCTTGCCCCTGGGTCAGAGAATGGTTCCTGGCCTCTCTTGGTCTTACAGGGTCTTGTGTTCCTATACCCTGCTCATTGTTTACCACCAGTGGCCATTCCATCTCCCCAGCGATTAAATCCAGCCAGAATTGGGCTTGCAGTCTGGCCCTGACCCAATTGGTAACCGCTGTGGGGAGACTGACCCTGCCAGCAACTTTTGGGGGGGAATGGTGGCCCTGACCCTACAGCAACCTCTATGGGGGAAGGGATGCACTGGTGGTGGGAAAGGGGTGGGTGTAGTGGCCCTGACCCTGCCGGTGACCTCTGGGGGTAGAAGGGGGTAGTGGCCCTGACGCTGCCAGTGACCTCTTCGGGGGTCGGATGGGGTAGGGTGGCCCTGATGCCACCAGTGACTTCACCTTCTGTGTTGATGTTGCATCCCATCCCCAGCAGCGCATTACAAAACCTAAAAACACTTGTGGCCTGGGTTTGATGCGTCCCAATGCCGAAGGGAGCATGGCAGCTGAGCCCGCTTGGTTGAGGACGAGGTTCTGCATCTCTCTCTCTCTGTGACAGCCAACTCCAAACCCCTGTCCCAGTTTAAGTCAGTGGGTAAAATCAGCAGATATAGGCTTTCAGCAGCTGGTGGTAGGATGTAGTTAAATAATAAGCTCCTTGGCATCCATTATCCTCGCAACCACTGCAACTCACTGATACCTCAGATTAAGCAGGAGTCCCAAGGCTTTCTCTCCACCTCAGAAGACTGCCCAGAAAATGACTTTGCCGCTGGCCTTTGGGGTGAAGTGAAAGGGGAGACTGGGCAGTCCCAACTGTGGTCAGGTACTCCACACTGGCGCAAGGGACCAAACCTCAAAGGGGAAGGTTTGTGAGAGGGGAGGAGGGGGTTTACAGAGTGACTGCTGAAAACCAAACTCCTGGCCTTCCTCAGGCCACTCACCCCACATGACCCTTCTCTCCCTTTGATATCATTTGATAAAAGCTCTGGTCTGGCCTCCTGCAATGATGCTTTGCCTCTGGTGGGTACTTTGAGGTCAGACACAGCCACTTCCTTCCAGCGCTAGTGGCAATTGGAAAACTGCTGGCTTTCAGAGTCAAGGAACTCAATCAGAGGGTAAACCCAATGATGACCACCAACCACATGATCCTTGCAGCACCTGGTCTCTTGTTAAGTGCTTTCTTCTGGAAAGATTGATTTTTGTTTAGCTGATTTTCGTTTAGCACACTTTTTCTGGGGCTGAATCAGGATAACTTTATCGGACTCCTAACGGCCATAACTCACCACCCAAAGCCCCAGAAGTTCTGTGGGCAGTTTCTAGTTTAATGAATGATGAGTACCTTTCTATTGTTGCTGACAGCAAAATATGAGCCAATTATTGCAGAATTATTCTGCACTTAGTTTCTAGATTGTAACTTTACTTTGAATAAGTGTACAAAAATATTTGGTCATTTCATCGACTCCTTAGGAACACCCCAGTCACCAAAGATTTATTTGGTTGAAAAATTTATAACCAAATCTCTGATCTCCCACAGTTTTATTAAAAATGGGACTATTAAATGTTTACATAGTCATACACACAGACCCTTTGGTCCAACCGGTCCATATCGAACATAATCCCAACTAAACTAGTTCCACCTGCCTGCTCCTGGCCCATATCCCTCCAAACCGTTCCTATTCATGTACTTACCCAAGTGTCTTTTAAACATCGTAACTGTGCCCGCATCATCCAATTCCACAGGAAGTTCATTCCACATGCGAACCACCCTCTGTTTTTAAAAAGAATAAAATTTGCCCCTCATGTATTGTTGGAAAGTTAATACCACCCTTGTGGAAAGATTGCATAGGATTTTTTTTTAAACCCATTGGTTTTCAGGGGTATGACAGTTGACAGAATGTCTCAAAGCACAGATTTGAGAACTGAGAATTTTTCATAATAAAATGTAAAAATTATTCTATCATCAATTGCATTGTTTCAGCCGTGTTTCCAAATCTCCCATTTCAGTTGTTGGATTGATATTTATCTATCACTGGATTGTTGAAAAAACCAAATTGTTTCTGAATCTAATTGTAGAATGTAGCGTCAGCCTGCAGAAGAATCTTGAGGACAACTCCTTGTTCTCATTACATTGGAAACCAATCAGTTAATAAAGTCTTGACGAGGCTTTTAAATGGTACATTATAAATTTTGTTGGATGCGTCCATGCCAGAAGGTGTTGGGAGGTGCTGTGTTGCCATAGAATAGATTGTCTCATGAAATGCAACATAAAAATTCACATTAGGTTATCTCCATCTGGAAGTAAATACCTGTGTTTATGGGGAAGAAACAGTGGGGTGGGGGGTGGTCAGTCAATTGTTACCCTGCCTCATTGCTGCAGGCACTAGTTTACATTGTTTTGTGTTCAGTCTGTGGCACAGAACTGTTCAAAGTAAAACAAATGCAGCCTAACAATTTTCTCAGTCTCTTTTTGTCATGGACAATGCAACAGTCTACTGTGTAGCTGAATCATACGGGCCAAGAAGGTCTCTGTTTTTGTTCGAGGGTTCAAATTTTGGGTCCAGCAACCCTTCGTCAGTTCTGAAGAAGTGTCACTGGGCCCGAAACGTTAACTCTCTCTTTGTTTCTTTGCAGAGGTGCTGCCAGACCTGCTGAGATTTTCCAACAATTTTTGCTTTTGTTTCAGATTTCCAGCATCTGCAGTTCTTTTGACTTTACAGCTTTGATCTTTGTCCTTTTACACCGGCAATTCATCCAGATTGAGTAAAGGATGGTTAGGAAAGACAAATGGGCAGCAAAAGTTCCTGCCCAAGTCACGATCTCTCCTTGTTATGTTTATACGTGGGAGGCTGAGTGAGCATCTTCAGGGTAGGAGGAGGGAATGGGGTAAATTTAATGGGCGAAAGATTATTTAACACAAAGTCCTTGTATTTTTTAATAGGTGATGTATAAGAGGCTTTTTTTTTTTTGAAATTAACAAATTACCTAGTTATGCACTGAGGAGAACAAATACATCTGCAGTGTGAGTCCAGTCCATCCTGTAGTCTTCAGATTGAAATTAAAATCCAATATATAGCTCTTCCAGTGAACGATGAGTGGAACGAAAAGGATTTGCAAAGCCACAATCTCAGCAGTCGTAGCAGGAGAACCTATCAGGGAGTTGTTAGTATTCCTGTTCCCAGACCTTGACCATGGTAATTCTACACCCTTTAGTTAAGTGTTGTTGCAGCAGTGACAGTCCAGTCCCTGTGGGTGTGAGAGGTTGTAAATCTGTCAGGTGTAGACTAATAGCTCCAGTTTACCCGTCTATCTGTGTACAGTGCATTGGAGAACCATTGCCAGGCGTGTGCAGCGAAATTGGAACTTTACACAAAATTTATCACATGTTACAATTGAAATATTGTTCATTTCTGTCCTCTATCAGTCACAGTAACAAAACCATTTCTGTTGTCCTTGATAAGAACGTTCATCAGCTAAACTGTGCCAGTTTCAAAAAAATTTGTATCCATCGCGTGCAACATTCTTCCGGTGTTAATGGAGCCGCAAATGCAAAAGGTTAGCTGACACAAGAGTTTCATTGCATTGTACACAGATAGCAAGTTGAAAGTCTGTGCCACAATCCCATGCTCAGAATTCAATGGGGGGGTTCCAAAAGCCAAAAGACTCGTGACTGAATGGTGCTTATACTATATCGAGTGAGGATTGGGAGCTGGGCAGCAACTGGGCCTGAACATTTTAAAAAGCTTTCTTTAAAAAAAAAAAGGAGGGAAAAGTTCCTTCACAACAACAGGAACGAAAGTGACAAAAACTTTATGCAATCAAACGACAGGTCGGTCAACATTAATGCTAGTACAGGTAGTTCTCCTATAACGCGATAGTGGAGTTCCTGCATGACCTCGCACTATTGAAAATCGCCATAGAAAATCACGTTAGAGGGAAATTGCTAAAGAAAATTGCTATACCTGTACAGCAGAAAGTTTGTGTTATTCAAACAGCTCCACTATTCATCAATCGCGTAACAGCCAATTCGTGTTAATGAAACACACATTATAGCAGAACTACATGTACAAGAGCTAGGTGAGCAGGTTGCAAGTTCATATGGATCTATCTTGCATGCTCAAGAAAGAGGTATTAAAGTCGTTTGCCTTTATCAGCAACTTGGGTTAGTCTCATTCCCAAAAAGCAAACCTGGATAGGTCCAAACGTTTTGAGGTTAGTGTTTTCTGTTAATTGCAAAACTCCATTAAGGAGCTCAGCCTTTGCAGAGAAAAAACTGATGGTTTTCTTTCTCTTGTGGCAGTAAAACAGATGCTGAAACATACAAAACGGACATTGTGAAGTAATGTGACTTTAACAGTATCTAAGAATCCCTCCTCCTTCTGTTCCTGTTAGTCTCTGCCAGTGAGCAAGAGCCAGAGCCAAAGCCTGAGCCTGAGCCTGAGCCTGAACCAGAGCCTGACTCCGAAGTCGAACGTGAAACAGAGGTAGTTGCTGAGTCAGGACCTTCGGAGCTGGAGACTGGGCAGGGAGCTGATCGTGAGCCTGAAGAACATGCAATCCTGAGTGAGAAGGAGAGACAGAATGAAGAAGTGAATGAGAAAGATAACTGCTCAGCGTCCAGCATCTCGTCAGCCAGCAGCACTTTAGAAAGAGAAGAAAGGGAAGACAAAGTAACCAGCGACAATGAAACTGGTAACAACCACATTTTCTGTGAATCTGTCATACTACTGCACTGTGTTAACCAGCTCCGGGCAGCAATTAATAATTGCAGGTTGCTGCGATGTACTGAAATAGATAATTTACTGTGCAGCACTGCACACAATATGCTTCAACATAATTATATACCAGCTTTCATCGAATCAAATTAGTAGCTGTGAGTAACATGCAAGTTTTCTGTGCAGAGTAAACGGTTTCTGAAGGATATATCATAATGTTAATGTTTTCTTTGCGTTGATCTGTTAATCTCTCTGCTTTTTTCCTACTAAATGTATTAAGCATGCGTTTATAACGACGAATGAACAGGCTGAGTATCATAAATGACAACCGTGTGATTTTGATCCTGACCAAAACATACTAATGTATCAAAAACAATACTTCAGTTTCATAGCATCTGGGGATCTGAAAGCCCCAAGAGGAATGGAAGCGAAACATACAGTTCCCTATCTCAATTGTAGTGGGAGGGTAAGACGAGAAGGCTGTTAAAAAGACTTTTGGGATCATTAACTTCATAAATCAAAGTCAGAAGTCGCACGATGCCAGGTTGTAGCCCATCAGGTTTTTTTGAAATCGCAAACTTTCGGAGTGCTGGGCTCTGAAAGTTTGTGATTTCAAATAAACCTGTTGGACTATAAACTAGTTCCGTAAGACTTATGACATTGTCCACCCCAGTCCAACATCGGCACCTCCACGTCATTCACAGCCCTAGGCCTCCGATGCATAAGCAAAGAGGTTCTGCTAAATCCTTGGGACAGTTCTGAAGAAGGGTCTAGGCCCGAAACGTCAGCCTTTCTGCTCCTCTGATGCTGCTTGGCCTGCTGTGTTCATCCAGCTCTACACCTTGTTATCTCAGATTCTCCAGCATCTGCAGTTCCTACTGTCTCTGGATTGTCTCACTGTTCCTTTGTTAATGCGCTGCTGTAACCCATCATTCTCTTTTTAAAATAGAGTAGATTTATAATCATATAAGGTTTATAAGATTTAAGACAATAGATTACACTCCTGGAAAAAGATGAGGTTAAGAATTCCAATGATTCCTGCAGTAAGAAATCAGAACACATTAAGCTGTACACTGAATATAAGTGAAGCCAGTCTCCTAGCTTCATTTTGGAACAGGGAACAGTTGCAGTTCTAGCCCCACTTTATGGGAAAGTCACTACAGACCTCTAACTCTCATGCCTTTTTTCTTTACTTGGACAACAGGTAAATGGACGCAAAGCATTAAGGAGGTCAGTGTAAATGAGCAGTGCAGCAACATTCTCAATAACAAACGATTCATGCTGGACATGTTGTATGCGCAGAACAAAAAGACAGAAGATGGTGAGGAAACAGAGCTTGAGAGAAAAGAGGAGGAAAAACAAGAGTCCCTGGCCACTTTGGCCAGCCGCATCAGCATTCTCCAGGCCAGCAAACAGGCTTGTGAGGACAAAGTGAAAAAAATGGAGATTGACCATCTGGAGAACCACGGCAGTGTGAAAGCTTTCACTGACAAATTTAACAGCGGGGAGCTGAGTAAAGGGCCACCGTTGTCTGATTCTGAAATGACTGCTAAGGCTGTGGATAAAGTGGCTGCACAGCCAAAAAAGGAATCCGATTACATTTGGGATCAACTAATGGCCAATCCAAGGGAGCTAAAAATCAAAGATATAGACTTCACAGACTTGGAGGAGGATGACGATGTAGATGTGTTGGACATGGAGAACTTACTTAATTCTGGAGACGCAATAATTCCGCCACCACCCCCTCCCCCGCTTTCTTTTATGGGTTTGCCTCCCCCTCCGCCGCCCCCTTTATTGTACTGCCCACCTCCTCCCCCAGCACCCGGGGTGTCCACACCCCCACCTCCGCCTTTTGGCCTTCACCAAGCCGTGGGGTCGCCCCATCTGTCCAGGAGTGAGCCAACATTTATCAAGAAGAAGAAAACTATCAGGCTATTCTGGAATGAAGTCCGACCGATTAATTGGCAATACAAAAACCACAAGCGATGCCGAGAACCCCTCTGGACCCGCCTGGAGCCTGTCAAGTTGGACGTATCCAAACTGGAGCATCTGTTTGAATCAAAATCCAAGGAATTGCCAGTCACTAAGGTAATGAGCAGTTATAACACACTAGAAAAATTCTTTAGAGGGTATTAATGTAATGGAAAAGGTATCAACAAACCTGAAGAATGTTAGTATAAATAGCAATGTCAGGTGTTAGCTTTCAGTGAGAAGAATGAGGAGATCACCTTTTTGAGAAGTGGGTCTGAATAGGGCTACGGTGCAAAGCGATTTGTAGATGAAAATGCAAATTGTTAAAGGTAGCGATGCGTGTTAATCAATTAAAGCACAAACAAACCACTGGGGTTCGTTTTTGTGTGGAATAAAATTCAAAAGTAGAGATGTCCAGTTAAAATTATATGTAACCTTAGATATGTCATACTTGGACTGCTATGTACAGCTCTGGTCACCATATTATGAACGTGTGAATTAGAAGTGAGAGAAGGTCAATTGGCCCCTCGAGCCTGCTCTGTCATGGCTGATCTGATTGAGGCCTCAACTCCATTTTGCTCCTTACTCCTTATACCCACCCTTTGAATATTTGTTAAAAAAGAAATCATCTAACTGTGCTTAAGAATATTCAATGACCCTGCTTCCAGCATATGCTGAGGAAAAAAATTCCACAGACTCTCAACTGTCAGAGAAAAATGTTCTCATCTTTCTTAAATGAGAGACTCTTTAGTTTCAAGCTGTGACGTCTAGTTCTGGTCTCTCTCTCACATGAGGAAACAACCTTTCAACATTTGTTTTGTCCTCACCTTTTAGGATCTTGTAAACCTCCATGAGATCACTTCTCAATGTTCTAAATACCTATGATACAGGACAACCTGTCCAACCTTTCACGCTGTGATGAACCCTACATCCCACAAGTCAGTAGAATGATCTTTCTCTGGATTGTGTATTAGAAAAATGATGTAGAAGCACTGGGAAATAGTACATGAGAGAGACCGGGAAGACACAGTCACCCCTAACCTTCTATATTCCAGGGAATACATGTCTAGTGTTTGCAATGACTCCAAATAACCTAGTCCTTGGAAACCTGGTGAATCTTTGTGACATTCATTCCAAGGTTTGATATTTAACCCATTGCATTCAAAACCAAGTTGGGGGAGAACAGTTCCTAATAAGTCATAATTAGAAAAACTTCGACCTTCCTGACATCTCTACTCTCTACACCTCCCAGCACCATTGTCCTGCAAAGTGAAGGAGAGTAGTAACCATTAGTTGCTAACAATTTTGCTAGTTTTGGTCCTTTGGGAACAATGTGAAGAACCTATCCAAATGAGTCGAAATTAGACCTTGAATTGTATTGCAGCAGTCATGCATGTCACCTCTGTGGGCTAGCTTTAAATCCAGAGCCCAGTTGTGAACTGGAACTTTTCCAATTCACACTGCCAATCAGCAGGCAAGTCTTTCAATATTTTATGTAACACATAATATTGAAAGAGTGTAAGAAAATGGTTACTTCTCACACATATTTAATTTTTACTTTATTATATGCATTATAGGATACTTGTGATGTTTATTCATGGTCTTTCAATGAGGAGATGTGTTAGGAATGAATAGTGCAGTGCCTCATTCTTTAATATCTATATAATGTTTGCAGGGACATGTTATGGTCAATTTTTATAAGTTATTGGTTGACCATCAGCCTAAATATCATGAGATAGTGGGAACTGCTGATGTTGGAGAATCTGATATAACAAGGTGTAGAGCTGGATGAACACAGCAGGCCAAGCAGCATCAGAGGAGCAGGAAAGCGGCGTTTCGGGTTTAGACCCTTCTTCAGATTTCTGATGCTGCTTGGCCTGCTGTGTTCATCCAGCTCTACACCTTGTTATATCAGCCTAAGTATCATGTCATTTCTGGGCACTGCACTTCAGGAAGGTTGGCAAGTTCTTGGCGAGAATGCAGAGATTTTCTCGGATTATACTGGGAATGGGGGATTTCAGTTCCATGAAAATATGCAGGATGACAGTATTGATCCAAAAGCAGAGCAGATTATGGGTAGATTTTATAAAGGTGGTGAAATTTGTGCACAATTTACTGCTTACATGGCAGAAGCAATATTATCAAAGGATGCAGATTTGAGGTAATTTTGAAAAGAGGCGGGGATTTAATTTTTGTTTTTTTATACTGAGAAATATGATTTATAATACAATGTAAGAATGGGAAAGTGGAAATAGGTTTGATAATATTTTTCCCAATTTGAATTGGGGCAATTTATTACTCTGGGAAAAGAGCAGGTGAGTGGGACCATAATGATCTGGCAACAGCACAATGAGCTGAATAGTCTGTTTCTGTGCTATAATATTCAACGATTAACAGTAATGCTGAAGTTGCACCACAGTAACTGGATTCTTGTCAGTGTCATTATGTGATGCATAACTCAAAAATGGGAGTTGTACTACAAATTGCACATTGTTGTATGTGGCACTGAGGTTTTGGAACAAAGGAACTCTGTTGCATAGGTATACGGAGAGTGGCATGTAGCTCCATTCCTCGGGCAGATAAACCTTGTAACACACGTGTCTCCTTTCTGTCAGGATTATAAAATTACCCGTGTCTTCAAGGTGTCAGTAGACTCATGACAACTAGATGAGTTTTTAACTAAGTGTATGTGCCATCACTAAGACTGCTTATGTCGACCTCCTGAATGCAACATGGCTCCAAACTTTCCACAACTCAACAGCTGCTGAAACCCTCATTCCTTTGTTACCTCTGAGACTTGACCGGTTAATGCTCTTGTGACTTACTTCCCATGCTCTAACCTCCATGAACTTGAAGTGATTCAAAAATCTGCGGTTCTTGTCCTTAAATGGTGGAGGATGCCAGTTTGAAAGTTAGTGCTGAAGGAATTTTGGTCAGTTACTACAGTGGATCTTGCAGATGGTTTACGCTAGTACCACCAGTAGAATAGAGTGAGTACATGCTGAATGTGGTGGATAGGGTGCCAATCAAGCAGCATGCTTTCTTCAGGAATATTTTGAGCTCCTTGTGTGTTATTGAAGACACGTTGATTCACTCTAGTGAGTATTCCATCCCACTTCTAACTTGTGCCTTGTAGTTGCTGGACCAGCTTTGGAAATCAGGCGGTGAGTTGCTCACCAGAGAAGTTCCAGTCTCTGATTTGCTCTTGTGACTACATTATTTATGACTATTCTGTTTCAAGTTTCTGGTCAATGATAAACCCTAAAGTGATTTTCGTGGGGAGTTCAGCAATAGTGATGCTGTTGATTGTCAAGAGAAATGGTTAAATTCCCTCTTGTTGGAGATGGTTGTTTCCTGGCATTAGTGTGGTATGAATGTAACTTACTTCTTGCTAGCCCAAGCCTGATTGTTATCCATATCTCGCTGCATTTTGACTTGGACTGCTTTTGTCTCTGAGGAGTTGCAAATGGAACTAAACGTCGTGCAATCATCAACAAGCATCCTCACTTCTGACTTTATCATGGAGAGAGGGGGATTCAAGCAGTTGAAGATATTTGAGCCTAGGACCCCACACTCAGGAACTCCTGTAGTGATGTTCTCGGACTGAGATGATTGACATCACAATAATCATCTTGGGAGTTTGATATGACCCCCAACTAGTGGAGAAAGTTTCCTCAGTTCCTATTTGCTTCAGATTTGCTAATGAACCGTGATTCCACATTCGAACAAATGCTGCATCGATGCTGAAAGCAGTCACTCTCACCTCACCTCACCTCTTGTATTTGGCTGTTTTGTCCATGATTGGACCAGGGCAGTGATAAGGTCATGAACTGGGTGGCCCTGATGAATTCCAATCCGAGCATTAGTGAACAGGTTAGTGCTGCATAAGTGTCACTTGATAGCACTGTGAATGACACATTATTGAAGAAAGGTAAGTCATCATTCCAAAAGCACAATTATTCCGTGTTAATTCACACTAACACAACTATTCATGAAAGCACACAGTGTAATGCTAATTTTCAGTGTAAATGATTGACCTAATTTAGCCATTTTGATGTTAGATCCCAAATCTCCATGCAGTTTCAGATTGATCAGGTGAAAGCTCCACTGAACATTCCACCTTTTATTTAAGATAGCTCTCGATTCCATGTAACCAGTCAAAGAATCTGATGCTCCTACTGTTATGATTATTCAGCTGGGAGTACTTTTAAGCTTCATATTTTAAGCACAGCAGGACCCAAAGTCATATTTCTCATGAATTTTGTTTTCCATTACTTCTCCTCGCAGAGGTCTACAATATATTTTCTGCATCTTTTTGGATGCATTTTTACTGCACCAAAATGAGTTGCATGAAAAAAGGCAGCAACCATAAATGCTATGCCGAATGTGCATATTTTATTCCTGGATAGGTTCAAATATTTAACTGTCGTGCATAGAAAACCTTGCATTTCTAGGTACTTGATCATCACCTAATGCCAATGAAATTCACAGCAAATTTAGGCCACACTTGAGACTGGTACAAACTTCATTTTGACTTGTGGTTTGTGACAGTTGGTGAAATTTGGAGCCATTCACTTATCCTGCAGAGGACAGCTGATACAGATAAAGGAGAACTCGCATTGTTGGAATGGCAGCTGGTCTTTTGAGATTGGCGTGGAAGGCCAAGTAGGTTTAATCTGCAAATAATCCACACGATATGCCCATGAGATGTTTACTACTAACTGGATATAAAAGTAGATTAATGCTGCATTTTGTGGCACTGTGTTCTCCCTTTTGACAAACGCAACAGCCATTCTAAACAGTTTCAATTCAAGTACATTCTTACATTTAAAACCTAAAACTGAAATACTTCAGATGTTGGAAATCAGCAATAAGATCAGAAAATAATAGAAATGCTGATTCTATCCAACAGCATGTGAGAATGAAAAAGAGACCGAATTAAAGTTTCGGATCAGTGAGATGATCTAAACAGATATCCACCTGAAACAGTTACTCTGTGTCTGTCTCTACAGGCGCTGCCTGGACCTGCTGAGCATTTGCGGTTTTCATTTTAAAACCTTCATGCATTACATGAATCCCTCAGGCTGTCGCAGTGGGAGCTTGGCTTTATTGCAGGG